AAGCATCCTATCATATCTATATATTTAGGCGAACAAAAGAGTTTCTATCTATCACAACTCCCCCCTTTTTCTATTCCTTACTTTTGTTCGCTGAATCTTTGTCGTTCCCTTTTACTTAATTCTAAATAATCTTCTGTTTCTTCTCCCTTTAAGGCCTCATATTTAGCGTGTATTAACATAAGGTGTGCTGCTTCTAATCTGTTTTTTATGATATTAATAATTTTATTGAGAATGCAAGGGCTTAAAGTAAGTACTAAAATTAGTAAAATTAGCGGCCCCATTATGGTGGATAACAAAGTAGTTAACCAGGGGGAGTAACTAAACCAAGATTCATACCAACTCTGTTGCATTTCTTGTTCTTTTTTTCTCTTTTCCAGTCCTTCCTGTAATTTGGCCATCGTTTCTCTTACTATTCCACTTTTATTTACATATACACAACATTCTTCTTTAAGGGCAGCACAAAGGCCTCCTTGTCATAAAAATAATAGATTTAATCCCCTTCTATTTTGCAAGGCCATTTCAGCCAGTGAGTCTAGGGAGTCTGTGAGGTCTTTTATAGATTTATCAATTCTTCTTAAATCCTCATCTACTGAAATTCTAAGCTCTCTGAGCCCCTGGTGTTGATTCGCTAAGGATGCTATACCTGTTCCTAGTCCAGCTCCTTCTATGCCTAGCAATACGGCTACTGTTAGTGCTGTGAGGGGTTCTCGCTTCACTAAATGATGTTCTGGGTTTTGATATTGTGTATACACATATTCTTCAGAATGATAAATAATCCTGGGAACTATTATAACCTGTATGCAGAATTCATAGGTTTCATTAAAGGTTGTTATAGAAACACATGGAGTTACTCCTAAAGTGTTACAAACCCATTTAGTATTAGGTGCTGGAATCAGCCACTGAGCTGGCTTGCGAGGGTCATTAATCTGTATTTTTGTTTGGCATAAGTAGTTCTTATCTAGGGGCACATTTCCCACACATTTCCCTTTTCCAGTGACTTGAGATAAGGTTATTCCTGGAGTATTTTCCCTTCCCGATTTCCATAAGCAAGCAGCAGGATTGGTAGCATTCACTCTCTTTGGTTCTGCTATGGAACCTATGGCTTCATAAAAAGGTGGGTTAATGTTATAACATAACCAACATTCTCTAGTTAAATTTGGATGTGTATCATTTAATACTCTAAAGGTAGCTTGCAGAATTTTCCAAAGAGCTTCATTTCCATACTCTTGGGGTGTCTCTACCGTGGTTAATACTTGGGTGTTATTTTCTAATTTTTCTGAATGGTTATTCTGATCCCTTACTTTAGGGTCTTCTACTCCCCACACCACTGGATTTGGTCCAACAGATCCCGAGTCATGGGGAACCACCTCTTTCTTTATGAGTATATGCACCCCCCGATCCCTTCCGGGTTCCCATACTCTGAGACCCCAGGTTCTTCCCAATAACCACCCAGGATCTTGGGATTCTGTAATATTCTGTATATAGTGAAATTTACAAGTTCCAATATATGTTATCTCCCCTGAGGGGCCTATCCAGGGCTTTACACATCCGTGTGGACCCCGTTCGACCTTTAGATACTTATCTGGGTTCTGTACTTGCCATCCCATGGAAATTGTTTCACAGCCCCAATATTTACAGTAAAATTCTCCGGGATAATTACAATATCCTCTGCCTGGGTTAGAAGCTGGGCACATGTATAATACCTTATGACCAGGTGGGAAATAATTAATACCCTTCCACTTAATGAGAGAGTCTAGTGTAACTTGAAAGCTAGGGGCTCCAGAGGTAATTTGTGATTGAATAATAACCTGGTCTTCCCATCGAATTAAGGACCAGTTAAAGGGTTCATGTATCTTACTTGAACAAAGGTTAAATGTGCTAATTAAAATTATAAATGTTACTGACCTTTTTAATGAGCATTGGTTTCCCTTGCTATAATAGAGGCTTTTCCTTTGTAAAATACTAATTTGGGCTTCCCATAAATTATTTTGCTGGGCTGTCTTATTCCCATTCTTGTGGCATTTCCAGGACCATGACCTTTTGGTCCCATGTATATTGGAGTGTTTCCCTCCACAGTTTATTACTCCTCTGCCTCTCCCGTCGTCGACCCGGTTGCCTCGGGCCACGGGGTGTACCATCTTCTCGGCAGCAAGAGTATTCTTCAGGAGGGAGATTACTCCTTTTTTTATTCTTTCTTTGTATATATTTTTCCCAATTTCTATGTTTTACTAAAGGGGTATCACACCTCAATTCCTGAAGCCTCCGTCTGCACAACCCAGCTACTATATCTACTACAAAAGGTGCAGATTCGTTTGGCTGGTAACAATAATACAAGGAATTGACTCCTTTTGAGTAAGTGGCCCACCACTTTTCTGATCCTTTTTCAAATTCCCCTGCCTGTGTTTTGGTTCTTAAGGCCCAATCAGTGAGTCTTCTCTGGGCAATGTAGCAAAATCTACACACCCCTCTCGGTGGGTAGCCTCTATGACAGTGGGTCCACCAATGTTCTTCACATATTATACATTTAAAACAAACAAAAGGGTAACAATTCTGGCATACAGCACAACCTATTTTAACATTTCTATTATATATTTCCTCACTACTAGATGGGGGTATCTTATATTCTATATAAAAGCCTTTATGGAGTTTACTATTCATAAGTCTCTATGCAGATTAATAATTTTCAGATATCATTTTTTTTTCCAGGATATTTTAAGTCTCAGGTCCCCAGCCGGGCTAACCACTTTCTAGTTATTAGTTTGTTTTTGGTGGCTCCACAGGTCCCTTAATTCGACTTGCATGTGTCCATCCTTTCTCTGCGGTTCGGATTGCAGAATCAGTTGTTAGTAAGACTTGATACGGTCCTTCCCACTTCGGTGTTAGGGGATTCTCTTTCCAACTTCTTATCAACACCCAATCTCCGGGTTGTACCTGATGTAATATAAAATCCAATGGTGGTCTTTGAGCTAGCATTCCTTTTTCCCATAATGCCTTCTTATACTTCATTAATTTTATTAAGTACTTATTGATATATTGGTCACTCACATTTGGATGTGTTTGAACTTCTTCTGTATTATAAGGCATACCATATAACATCTCAAAAGGGGAAATTCCCAAATCTGCCCTTGGCTGAGTTCGAATATTTAGAAGGGCTAGTGGAACACATTTGACCCATGATAGTTTTGTTTCCATCACCAGTTTAGTAAGTTGTTTTTTTATTTCCCCATTCATTCTTTCTACTCTCCCAGAACTTTGAGGGTGCCAAGGGGTGTGTTGTTCCCACTTTATTCCTAATGCCTCCGACACCTCTTGAGTTATTTTTGATGTAAAATGGGGACCTTTGTCAGAATCTATTGTCTCTGGTACCCCATACCTGGGAATTATTTCTTCCAATAACACCTTTACAACTGTTCGTGAAGTTTCCCTAGATGTAGGGAAAGCTTCTACAAAATGGGTGAGGTGATCCACTAGGACCAGGAGATATTTAAGTCTCCCTACCTTTGGTAGTTCTGTAAAGTCAATTTGAATATTTGCAAAGGGTCTTTTTGCCAAGGGTCTCCCTCCATAAGGTAATTTTCTAAGATTCTTCCTATTTGCTTTTAAACATGGGAGGCAGCTTCTAGTAATTTGCTTAGCTAAATCTCGAATACTTGTGCTCATATACTTTGCTGCAAAATAGTCTATTAGTCCTTGTGCTCCCCAATGTGTCCTTTGATGTATTTTTTCTAATATTCTCTGAGCTATGGCTTTTGGTAGTACTTCCCGGCCATCTGGAAGGAACCATCTCCCCTCTGAGTTTTCTACCGCCCCTGTCTCTGGGAGTTTTAATCTCTCTCCCTCAGTAAATTTACTTCTTAAACCACTATCTTTATGTTCCATAATTTCTTCATGCCCCCCTTTTTCTTTTAGGACCATTGTCCGTAATGCCGCCCGTTTTGCCTCCTGATCTGCAGCATTATTTCCCCTACTCCTCAAGTCCATTCCCTTCTGATGTCCTTTCAAATGAACCACGGCCAACCTTTTGGGCCCTCTCAGGGCCTTTAATACTGCAATTATGAGTTTTTTGATGGACTAAATCTTTCCCTTGGGAATTTATTAAACCTCTTTCTTCCCACAATTTACCGAACGTATGCACCACCCCATAACTATATCTGGAATCTGCATATATTGTCCCCTCCTTCCCTTCTAATAATTCCAATGCTCTTAATACTGCATACAATTCACAGGCTTGGGCTGACCAGGATTTATCTAATGGACCTGATTCTAGGACTTGCAAATCAGGTCCTCTTACTATGGCATAGCCTGTTTTCCTCTTTCCTTCTATTACTCTGGAGGACCCATCCACAAACAACTTTTCTCCGCTTTCTAATTCCTCTTCTTCTAAATCAGGTCTAATTTTGGTCTGTTCCTCAATTGTAGTTATACAATCATGTGTCAGAGATTCGCCTTCGGGTTCTCCATACAAAAATGCAGCCGGATTTTGTAAAGTAGTGGTTTCTAATATTAAGTTTGGGGCCTCAACTAAAATTCCTTCATATTTTAAAAGTCTAGCATCTGAAATCCACTTATCCGCCTTTTGTTGTAACACACCCCGAATATTATGGGGGGACATTACCTTCAAATTGCTATTAAAGGTAATTTTCCTAGCTTCCTCTACCAGCAGGGCACATCCTGCTATTACTTGCAGACAAGTTGGCCAGCCCTTACTCACGGGGTCCAAAATCTTTGATAGATACCCTATCGGCTTCTTTCTCCCTGCCCACTCTTGAGTCAGGACTCCAAAGGCAATTCCATCCTCCACATTTACAAACAAATAAAAAGGTCTTCTTAAATCTGGGAGACTCAAGACAGGAGCATGAATTAAACTCTCTTTTAGCTCCTGAAATTTTTCTGTATCTTCTAAACTCCATTTCATTAATCTCTCTTGTGTCAATTTATGATACAAAAATTTAACTTTACCACTATAATTTTCAATCCACTGTCTACAGTATCCTGTTAATCCCAAGATTTGACGTACCTGTCTTTTATTTTTTGGAATTGGTAATGATAAAATTCCTTGTACTCTCTCAGGATCTATCTTTTTTTTTCCTTCCTTCAGATAATGACCTAAATATTTTACCTCTTTTTCAACGAATTGGAGCTTTGCTTTGGATACTTTCAATCCCTTTAAACTCAGAAAATTTAATAACTTAATACTCTCTCTCCTTACGTCTTCTTCTTCTTTCCCAGCTAAAAGTAAATCATCCACATATTGTATCAAGGTCACTCCCGGGTCTATTTGATAATCCTGTAAAACCTGTTCTAATGCTTGCCCAAATAAATTAGGGGATTCCGTGAATCCCTGGGGCAATACCGTCCATCTCAGTTGTTGTCTCCTCCCCGTATCTGGATCTTCCCATTCAAAAGCGAAATAATCTCGACTAGCCTCATCCAGAGGGCAGGCCCAGAATGCATCTTTTAAATCTATAACACTGTACCACAAACTGTCAGGCCCCAACTTGCTTAGTAACGTGTACGGATTTGCAACTACGGGGAACCGTGCTACTGTACGTTTGTTAATTTCTCTTAAATCTTGTACCAAACGATAAATCCCATCTGGCTTCTTTACTGGCAGTATGGGTGTGTTAAAAGGTGACATACATGGTTCTAATAGTCCCTTGCTTAACAATCTATCAATTTCTGGTTTCAACCCTCTTCGTCCCTCAAGTGACAAGGGATATTGTTTTATTCTGACTGGAATTTCTGGGTTTTTAATAGTGACCGAGAATGGGGTTATCTTCAGTTGTCCCACACTCTCAGGTGTATACCACACTTCTGGGTTTATTTTATCTTCATCTTCTACTCTTAAAGGACATAATCTTATTTTCCACTCCCTATCAACTACATCTAAATGTATTCCCAATTCAATAATTAAATCTCGT